GTAGAGCAGCAGCCATCTTGTGCTGGTCAGCTAAAAGAACGTGAGGCAACAAAAGGGCATCCTGGGCATGGTGTCTAGTTGTATCAGGGCAATGAATGTGTGGGTGAAGGCAGGTATTGACTGGTTTTATGCTGTCTCTAGAGGAATCAGAGGGTGCAAGTGAAATTTTGTGCTTGATTTTTAGTCTCTTTTGGTCCTGGAACAGAGGACTGGCCACTGCTCATTTTCTTAGAATCATAGGATTGCTAAGCTTGGACAAGACCACTAAGATCATCTAGACCAAGCCCAGCTTGGGGACACAATGCTGCTTAATGGATGGTTTGGCATCAGGGTTTCACCTGGGGGGTTTTTTCATCTCAGTTTTTTGCCTTTCTTTTCCTTCGAAACAACCAGCTGTTCCCTCTGGCTGCCCCTCTCTTAGGGTGTGAGTGGATGAGTGGAGAGTGTGGCCGGACTGCAATCAAAGAAATATTTTGAGAGTCCTTTCAGAGCTCCTTAAGGAATCTGGGCTGGCTATGAATGCATGCTTTATGCAGCATTGTTTTGAAGTAGGAGTGAGTCACTAAAAAGCAATCTGCACTCTCTCCATGTTCAACTTTGACTTTATTAAGAAAAAGAGAAAGAAAACAAACACAATCCCATTCACTTCAGAAATACACATTGATCCTTTAATCCTCAGGGAAGCATCGGGAACAGCTTCCTACTTGAAAGAATTGCTGTATTGATGCAACATTTAATTGTGCAATTACACACGCACATTTTCTCCCGTGCTTTGCATGCAGAGCAGGGCTCTGTGGCTAGAATGCTAATCAGAATGTGGCTGATGCTATCTCACTCTACACACAGCCCCAGTGCAGCCTCCTGGCCAGCAGCAAGCCTCAGGTTTTGTTACGACCAGAGGTACTTCCACCAAGAACTACTGCACACCTGCTCTGTAGGTGTTCACACATATATGCCCACATTAATGTGTATATATCCACATTTGTTTGGACAGGACCTGCTTTCCAAGATCTGCATTGGGTATAATGTCCGTCAGGTTTTTCTGACGCTTCTTGTGTGACCTGTTGTGATATCAGGGGCACGCAGCACTTGGTGTGAAGGTGCCATCTGTGGAAAAGGCACATATTTGTCCTGCTGATTTTCCTTGTCCTTTATTTTTGGAGATACTGAAATTAGTCTGAGGGATGCCCTGTGCAATAAAAAGCATAATCACAGAACTGTAGGGGTTTAAAGGGACCTCCACGTATCATCAAGCCCAATCCCCCTGCTTAAATGAGTATCCCACAATAGGTGCTGTTTTACAGTAAATGCAAAGGTTGGTTGAGTGACAGAGGGGAGCAAATTCAACCATCTTTTAGCCAACTTCAAACACTAATATTTTTGCTGGGTTTAGTCTCTTTACCGTGTTTTTATTATTCATGGTTTTGTCATTAATTCTGCTTTCCCACCAACGTTAGGGATGGAGTTTCCAGATGGGAAATCCTACCTGTCATTCTGTCATCAACAGCCATGGGCTACAACACAGGCTTTGAAATACAAGTGCTGCTTTCTTTTCTGGGCTTTGCATGGTGTCTAGGGGCACCTCCAGTTCTCCTCTCTTGGGTTGCTACCTCCATGGAAGTGCTTTTAATGCCACACTGTCTTAACAGTTTTAGGAAAATGGCAAAAGGTGGGGGAGGGAAGAGGGGAGAGGAAAAGCTTTGGTTATTGAAGAGCATTTGACTGATGTTTCTGCCAAGGAGGTGGTGGAGTCACCATCCATGGAAATGTTCAAGAAATGTGTAGATGTGATACTTAGAGACATGGATCAGTGGGCAATGTTGGTGATATGTGGGCAGTTGGACTAGATGATCTTAGTGGTCTTTTTCCAACCTTAATGATGCTCTATGTTATGGGCTTCTGATTTCCTGGAACCTCTGCTTGTGTTTTCATCATGTTTCTGAAAGCTTAAAATTAGAGCAAGCTATCAACACAGCGAAAATCAGTCTTTTAATGTAACAGCATTAGCTCTGACTGTGGCCTTCCTTGTTCCTGTTGTTCAGGAAATCTGCTCCTGTTTTTGGCAGGATGCGTGCTGGCTCTGTGGCTGATGTGCAGGGACAGAGGGGGAGGCAGGAAGGGGAAGGGGAGAAGTCCCACGGCAGCAGCCTTGTTTATGTGCCTCATTTGTCTTAGTAGTGCCGCCGCTTCCTTTCCTGGCGGAAGTCCCTTTCTGATAAGCCAAACAAGCAAAGAAAGAAGCTGTTGCTCAGAGCTGTCACGGGATGCAGTCTATGCCATCCTCCTGACTATCAACACCTTCTTCCCACCCACCTGCTCAGGGTGCAGCACCACTCCCAGCAGTTCCATGGGTGTGGGTTGGGTTTTTTCCCATACACAGAGAAGCGTGCACCACCTCCTTGGGCAGCCTGTTCCAATAATTCATCTTTCATTTCTATACCCCTACCTTAAAGCCTGTAAAAAGTACCCTTTGACGGTTGCCTTGCAGCTTTGGTTGGGTTTTCTTTGGTTAGTAACCCCACTGGTTGGTGGCACAGCTATGTAGTATGACACAAGTATAATCATGCAAGGCCAGGGTCTATTCCCAGCTGCAGATCTTCCTTTTGAGAGGCTGTGACTTGGATGGCTCAGAGGTTGCTTTCCCTGTTCTCTTGCCCTGTGCTGCTGGGACCCCCAGTAAGAGCACAGGCAGAACTGACTCCATTCCTGATGGCAATGAGGTGCTCAGGTCTCTGTATTTAAAGCTGACATTTTACCCTTTGTATTGCATAAGAAATGGGCTCTTCAGAGTTTAATAAAGGCATGGAACAGGTGCTTCCAAGGGAAGCAAGTTCACGTGTTCTAACAGAAAAATCAGGAAGAAAAAAAAAAGTAATGAATGACCCGCTGCATCAATATTGCAGTTTTATGACTGCTGGTTTTGTTTAATCTTTCTTAAGCAAGCAAACAAACAAATGAGAGAGGTGGTTTCCAGGACACGGGCACGTTACGTCCAGCCCCAGAGTTTGTCTCTGCCATGTGAGATAAGCTGTGTGAATCTCCCCCCATTACCACCAGGGAATGCTAATAATGCTAGTAGGTGGGCACTTGCGGAATGCTATGGTTATGGAAAGGGATCTTCAGATGGTTTTGAATGCTTCAGACTTTCTGGAAAATGTGGTTTTGAGTTCAGTGTTTTGCTGAATTTCCCTGAATTCAGAGTCTGAGTGTATGGAATTCCATGAATCTATGAAGGCAAGCCTGGGTTTTTCTCAATGTGCAACATTTTGAGGTTCTCCCCTCCCTTTCCTAACAATGAATTTTTGGTCCTTTGCTTTCAGTGAAGTACATTAATTACATACTGGTTTTATCAGGTGTTCCTTCACTGTTTGCTGGCCCTTGCTGCGGTTCTTCTTGGACCTGAAGAGTAAAATGTGTTTGTGTTGGCATGCGGGAAATAGGGGAAACCTCAGGAGAAAATAGGACTGGAAAGGAAATGTTTTTTCTGCCCAATGAAAATTTTTGTGATGCATTTTTTCCACATCAGAATAAAACTTGAAATATGGAAGAAAGAAAAAAGAATACAGCTGGAGGAGTTACTTCTCTTGATTCCTTTTATTTTTTTTCTCTCTTGTTAACAAAGTTTCTTTATGTTGCAATGCAAACTACAAATTCCAGATTCCTTGGATATCTGGATAACTTGGGTCAAAAAGTTGATTTCAGTGGATTGGGAACAGTTCAGTACATAATTTTAAATCAGAAAAGGACAATCTGCTGCATTAAAATTAAAAAATAATGACCCAGTAAATTACTAATTTTGTGGTCCAGGGTAATTAGTGGAACAGCTTGGCAGGTAGAATGCAGCAGGTCTAAATTACTGCTCTATGTCCATTAGCAGGAAGATATTATCTACCTTTGTTGCTACTAATAATACTATATATATATATATATATATATTTGCCCTTTGATGCTTTTCTTAGTTGTTTGCATCTCAATCCTTGGTTGTCTCCATAACGCTCCAGAAATTATTCACAGTGCACTTTTCCTAGCGCAGGGGAAATTTGAGGCTTTTACAATTAGTGCTGCTGGCTATTCCATGGAAAACATACACCATGGTCTGACAAGGAAAGCAGCAGTAAAAAGCCACGTGATGGCTGATGTCTGCCAGCAGGTGCGTGGAAAGCAGTGGTTCCCATCTTGCAGGTCTCTTTTGTGTCCCATTTGATGAGGTGATGGCACATTCACCTCCAAGTGAATGGAGGCATCTCCCTATCCACACATTGCTTTGCTAAGGGCCAAAGTGCAATGGTCATATCGTCTTGTCCCCTTTGTGACATTGGCCTATTTCAGCTGGGAATTTCCACCCCAAATCTGTACCCTGCAATAGGCTTTAAGCATGCATTTTGCAAAGAAATCCCCTTTGACTTTCAGGATCAACATGATAGGAATTACTGCTAATGAGCCGGTTTGCTTAGTGGGTGGTTGCTCTTGCTGTAAAACACAAAGGATAGTTTTTCTTCGGTTTTCAACTTGAGTTTCCTGAGATTCAGTCTTCCAACCCTAGACTTTGTTCCAGCTCTGTTTGCTGGAGTTAAAGTCATCAGAGTCTAAAATCTTCCCATGAGCCCTTAAAGTCCAGGAGGAGTCGCTTCCTAATCTCGTCTTTTAAGAGGATGGTGATAATTGAGGACTTCTTATTGACTCTGTTGACCTTTGCCTACTTTGTGTTTGGGTTTTATTAGATAACTTGCAATTGTTCTTTTTCATCATTATAACACTACTGTTAATAATTGTTAACTGGATCTACATCTAAGGATGTGGCCCACGTTGGTCAAAGAGCAAAAGATTGGACCTCTGATGGACAGATGAAATGTTGTTGATACGGTCTGGAGCACCTTCAGAGAAAAGAAAACACATCAATCCCTGTGCTACTTACTCACCTCCTCAGAAAGTTTTGTAAATCATGTTTGATATTTTTAGTGATTTCTTTTCAAGTGGTGATGTATCTCTGCTGTTTTCAGGTCTGCTTGTATGCTGGGCTGTATTCCACCATCTGTGATGGTCCTGAGCACTTCCTTCACTCCTGAACTTCATTTGATTTCACTGAGAAGTTGCAAGCAGTGAGATAATACTGAATGAAATTGGGATTAGATGGGTAATTAGATGGATCCTCACAGGTACTTCATCTGCATGTGCGATCTTTTATAGCCTTACATATCGCAGCTTCAAGGGAGTTGCTCCTCATCTAACACAGTCAATTGCTCTAGACTTTGCAGGATGGAGGAGCATCTGTCTTCTGTTTATTATGACTTCTTTCTTACCTGTATTATTTTTTTTCTTTTTGCAGCGTTTTTGTTCCCATGTATTTGGGGCTGGTGGGAAGTCTCATAAATACCATTATATCAATAGTTTGGATCCCCTCTCCAGCTAAGCCAAAGTCAGAACAACGTAAGACAGAAAACAGTAAGTATTTAGTTATTTTATTAAATAGCACATGAATAGGGCAGCTGGAATGCTCTGATAAAGGGTTTGGGATTGTGTTTATGGACAGAAAGGTGCCCCTCTTTGCTCACAGTGCCTCATCCTCTTAATGCTTGTGAGAAAGTACTTCCCAGGAGAGGAGTTCGAGTCAGATGAGAAGGATTTAGGAATGCTGAGGATGCAGTCATCTAATTCATTTTGCATATGGACTGTCCACAGTTTCAACTCAGTTTCTGAGCTCAAAGCTTTAACTGCCAAATTCAGTCCCACAGTAGAATTAACTCTTGCACTGTTATCTACACACTCATACCATTCCTATTAGGATTTGCCCTTCCCAGAAAGCATCACATGGAGAACCATTGCCTGCTGTGTAGAACACTGTTATTACAAGCAACAAGTACTCACCACGATGGGGAGAGTTTCTTGTTCCCTACCTCTAACCTATTTATACATAACATTATTTGATATGTTATCTTCTGTAGGCAGTGTATTCAGCGTCAGAGAAATCCTACGCGTGATGAAGTTTCCGGGAGTAATGGAAATCTTCTTAGTCAAGGTCCTTTCTGGACTTCCCATAGGTAAATCTCACTCTTTACCATGGTTGCTGATGTATTTATAATAAGAAGACATACACTGGAGACTGGGCTAGTCTGAAGTTACTGAAACCACACTGTGTGTAATCATGGAGAAGTGGGGATTTGGCTCGTACCTCAACACTTGTACTTCCAGATGCTCTCAGCTACACAGAGTCAAAAATCTGGAATTAATGTAAAACAGACCACTAGTCACAGGCTGCTTTTGTGACTTTTGGCATATCACTTAATTGCTCTGCCTGGTCCCATGGCTGTAAGAGGATAGTTCTATTCTCTGTCATTTCTGTTTAGGCTGGAACCTCTTCAGAGCAGAGGCAAGTTGAATGTACCCTGTCAAAAACACTGATGTCCCTCTTGATTTTAGTTAATGATTATAAGGGGAGGGAAGGATGCATAGCCTAACTTTTTCCCAACAATTTAAAGCTATAGCTGGACAAGATGTGGTCAGACGGGTTTTTAATTTCTGCTGTGCACAAGGGAGCCACTTGCTTTTATTTCTTCCTTTGCTTGATGGTGGTAGTGCTTGTTCTTCTCTGTGAATATTCTTCTGATTTTTCTCATGTCGTGGTCATAATGCACTGCTTCAGACATACCCCAAACCCACCTGTCCCCCTGCTCCTGTTGAATCATTCACAGTCTTGACATGTTCCATTGTGTGGCACAGACCCAATGCTCCGTTAGGTAGGTGGGATGGTTGCCCTAGATGATGATAGAGGTAGTTTCCAACCTTGATGATTCTAAGATTCTGTGATCAAGTTGTGGTTTGTAAACTGTAAATTCAATTTACAAATGAAGGTAGATTTGACTAAAGAGAGTGGCTGAATGAGATGGGGATGTCGTTTCTGGCCATGACCAGGTTCTTCTAACATCTTGCCAAGACTGACTGGAGCTGTAGAATAACATGAAAGGAAGAAAAGTGTTTCTGATTTTTTTTCTTTTGTTTTAGTGCGTACTTGGCATTGGCTAAGATCAATGATGCCAGCTGGTCCTGCTCCCACCACTAGAGAGAGAACAGGCACCTCTATGGACGGGTGGCTTGCCCAAAGTGTGCATCTCTTAGATTCTTATGAAACCTTTGAAACTGTGTTTTAAATGTTTATAAAATGGCAGCATTTCATAGAATGAGATAGCCAAGTGATGTTTTAACAGGGTTTTCTTTTCCAATTCTGGCTCATTTCTCAGCTTAGAGCAGTATTCTCTTCCCTGTTTAAAAACACCATACTGAGACCACATCCATTTGTAATCTGCACTGTAATTTCCTGTGCACTGTCCTTTTTCCAACAAATGGGTGAGATGCACCCTGGTTTAGTCATTGCTGCTGAAATACAGATGCCTCTTTGTTGCAGAAGACATTCTTCTTTTCCCATGCACAGCAAAAATGAACACCAGACCAAAATAAACATCTCCTGCCCCAACTGCAAGGGAACGTGTAGGCAAACAGGATGGAATGTAAGGCTGAGATTCAGGGCAGGACATGGGCTACTTGCTACTGAAATGGGTGGGAATAACTCATGACGAGCAGGAATGAGTTTAGTGGAGGCATTCCTGCTACAAGCAGAACGGAATGCCTAGAAGTGATTACAATCCCAGGCACTTCTGTTCACAGGACTCTCTTCGGGTCGCTGACCCATAGGATTGCATCCAGAAGAGGATTTGGACATCCCTTCCTCCTTTGCAACTTATGGCTGAAGGCTGAGCTCCTACTGGTCTCATTCACCTTTCATCTCCCTTCTGCAACTGTGTAATTAATTAGACCAGCCAAATTACAGACCTCTCTTTATTTACCTTGTAAACAAGTGCGTGATATACACAGAGGAGAATCTCCTGTTCCATACAGATCTCATCGTTGTCCAAAATGAGTATGTTTGAGACAGAAAGAGCCTACCCAAGAGGGTTGCAGGGTTGGGAACCTCCTCCCTGGTTTGCATCAAAGCATAGATGGCTGCATGCTCCTGCTGGAAGCTGAGCTGCCACGGAATGGAGGGGCAGTAGGGGTCTCCAACATGGCTGATTTGCCTGCTCAATAACGTGAGTGTCATGGCCTTGCAGTAGATAGTAGACTGAAAGCCAAACATGAGGGCAGAAATGTCAAACAGCCCTTGGTGCTTGGAGATCACTAGGGCTTTGAAAATACTGATAATAGCTTCTTGTAGGAATCTATGGGCTTGAAGAAACCTGCTCCCTTCTCACAGTGGCTACCTCTGCAGACCACCCCCCACCCTGCTACTGAAACTTTGCCATATACAGCCTTCCAAAGCCGCTGCTTGCTGTCTCTTTGGTGCTCTTCCTGCCTTTTACTGCATCTTACAAAACATTTTCCTGCCTCATGCTGCATGCCCATTATTATTTGCTGCTTGGTGCAAGGTTTTGTGAAGGGTTCACTCGTGGTGCGGGCATACCCAGGAAGGTGAAGTTCTGAGATCCTGTGAGTCACTGAAAGAAGAGGGGACAAGGAGGGTCTGCTTTGCCCAGGCACTTGTATGGGCATAGGGTAGCTCCCATCTGAGGGATGTTTGCATCCTGAGGTAGCCATGAAACTGAAACATAGAATCATTAAGGATGGAAAAGACCACTAAGAAAGATCATCTAGTCCATCAACCCATCATCACCGTACCACTAAACCATGTCCCTCAGTGCAATGTGCAATGCCTTTGAAGGAGCACAGCTATCTCCCTGTGCAGAAAGAAATGAGCTCCTTTGGAGCACGAAGATCAAAACCTAAGCTGGGCGAAGGACTTCAAAAGAGCTTAGCTGCAAGAGCTGCAAGTAGCATGGCACTGAGAAGAGGCAGCAATGTAGGAAGGCTGAGTCCTGCCGGGTGGTAGCGCAGTGAGGCTGCTGGGTGAAAGGAGATGCACCCTGATCTGATCTCCCTGTGAGTAAAGCCAAGTGTGGTTTTTCTTTCATTTCTTCACGTGTGTCTTTTATAAACATCTGCAGCTCTGTTGTCTGTTTTGGATGTGAGGAGAAAACGCTGCTGTTTGCATGTTACCCTAACCTGGTTTGAGCTAGGAGGCGTTTCAAAGCAACAGGATAACAGCGGGCGCTCCCCGCAAAGTGCTGCGACTGAGCCAAAAATCTTCACAAGCATCAGGCATACCAGCACCTTCCCCAGACCAACGGGAAGCAGCAGGGTGAGGTGCTTTTCATTTTGCCCAGCACCAGGTGAGTGAGGAAAGGAGCCCCAGAAACCTGCTGGACGTGGGACAGTTGGGCCAATCAGTTTGGGTGCGCATCCTTCCATCCAAAGGCAGATTTTGGGCAGGTCAGTTGAGGACACTGCAGAAATGACCATTTCCCCATCATCTCACCCACCCCTGAAGCCTTCAGTGTGAGTTTTATCTTTTGTAGAATTTCACTGAAAAAGTGCATTTCCTGTCCTAATGGTGCATATATGGAAAACGGGTTGCATTTTCTGCCCTCAATGGGTGGATGTGGTTGTACTTGGGGTGAATGAAACACACTGTAGTCAGCAATTGGAGATGGCTCTCCCCACACTTCCAGGAAATGCGGGTGAGAGCCTTCCTGTTCTGCGGGCTAGTGACTCACCTAGCCAGGCCACAGGCTGCTCTCAGTCCTCACTCCTTTCCTCCTGTGCTCTTCTGTCATTACAGAGAGGACTGCAGCTCCCAGCTCACCAGTTCTGTGCACCTTGGTGGGCCCTACAAAGCAGGGCAGGAGCAGACCCCTGCAGGTCATTGGCTCTTTCCTCCTCTCCCAGCAGCACTGGGATGCCGACACACACAGTCCAATTTCCTGCTGTCTGTCCACCTGAAATGTGTTGACAGAGGCAGCAGGTGCATACCGCGAGCCCATTCTTTAGTGATGCTTTGTCCCAACAACGGGAGTGGTGGGGATGGGTAGATGGCTGGACGAGGTGATCTTAGTGGTCTTTTCCAAACCTTACGATTCTATGAATGTTTTTGATTTGTTGGCAATTTGTGTATAATGGAGTACACATACACATCTCTATGTTTGTGTATATTAGGTGCCGTGGGAAATGCACACAATTGCATTTTTAGGTAAGACTGAGTGGGCATTTTCCACAGCGCGCTCCAGAAACTGCCTTAATAGACCAGCACACCTCGTGCCTGCTGTTCCTGTCCGTACTTCCCCAATTGTTTCTGTTGACACCACTCTCAAGCCATGGGAGTTTTCACGTGGGGCTGAAATTGCTGCTGGGGTGTGCAGTGAAACCTTTTTGTTTAGTCTGATGTCACCGGCTTGTTTCCCAGGCAGCATTCCCAATGGTGGAAAGCTAAAGTTAGGCAAAAGGGAGGAGGAATCCAATCAGATTATTCTATGGTTACAGTCTTGTCTGAACAAATGTTTTCTTGCTGCCTTAATACTTAGTCTGCCGTGGGTGATAAAAATATTTACTAGTTTATTATAAACAGCTGAACCTACAGCCTACATAGTCACATTATTTCAAGATGAAAGTAAAGGGGATAAAAAAGTGAACATTTAAAGACTAAATTGCTCTACTGGCTTTGAGTAGGATTCTGCTCCTATTTATATCCAGTGCCTATAAACCCAGGGAGAGCTCCTGACTCACGCTGGGAGCAGAGGTTGGGCCAGTGCAGTGCTGAGGGCATACTGAAGTGTACTTCTCATTAACCCTCCCTCTAGGTTTGTTCCTGATTATGTTTTCCATCATCTCGATTGAGTTCTTTGGGTTGGAAGCAGTGGAGTCTGGATACCTGATGTCATATTTTGGTGTCCTTCAGATGGTAAGTGAAGTGCCATACTGCTGTCTGATGTGTACCTTGCCACATTTTTGCACATATTCTCCCAAATCCAGGCATAATATTGACACACAGATCATAAATACACTCATAGCTCTGCCTTGTGTAATTCAGCTTCAAAAAATTAAAGTGCCTCCAAATTTATTCTGTTCCTTGGAATGGAAAGCAAGTAGAGTGAGCAATGTCTTGGAGACCTTTCCCCTTGTCACTTCTTGTGGATCTTTAAGCTTTGGAGCCAAGATTTCCAATGACTGGCATGTCATCCTGGTTCCTGCAACAAAACTTACATTGAAGCTAACAGGCCTCAATTACAAGGTTTTCAGTTCTGTAGGTTAGCTCATTTACATTTGCTTAGTAGCACCTGTGAATTTGTGTAGGTAGGTGGGTGCATTTACTGGCATTTTTGCAGATGCCCTCAGTGTAGAGGAAGGACTCGTTCCTTCTGTGGAGAACTGTGGGGAAACTAGTGCAGCAAGCTTGTACTTTCAAAAAAAAAAAAAAAAAAAAAAAAGAAGATGGGCTATGGAACACAGGAGACTGGCAAAATGGACAAGAGTGAAAAATTAGCTGAATTATGTCATAGCACAGCCAAAAATAATGGTGATAGAGCAGCCCAAAATAATGGTGCTGTGTTATTTGGAGAAAGAGGCTAATAATTCTGCAGGAAGAGCAACAGATGGCTATAACGGAAGGCAGGAATGCAAGGCAAGCAATATCCTGAAGGAGGGTGGTCTTGTTAGAATGCCTTGCTTTCCTGGGCAGTGCCGCAGAGTTCCTGTGTGATTCAGAGGATTTCCCCATCTGTGAAATAGCAATTTTAGTCCCTTGTGATCTGGATCTGGCATTGTGTTGGTCTCACACCCTAGCAGAGCAGCCAATAGGCATGGTTGTGCATCCATGAGTGGGGTCAAACCTCTGGATCTGGGCAACCTTCTCTGTTGCTGCTCTGGGAGGGGGATGTTTGGTGGTCTGTGCCTCAGTCTCATGTGCTTCACACTTGCTGTCATTTGCATTGGGAAGGAAACCAGTTTTGCTGCTGCAAGTGAGGTGATCAGCAGCTGCTTCCCATAGCACGCATCTGGCCCAAATATGAGGTCTCATGGAGGCCTGCTCTACATTAGTCTTCATGTGCCACCTCCTAGACCAGAGTCTCTAGGATGCATTCAAGCCTTAGAGTTGTCCTCTGAAGCCTTTTTCCCCCTTTGAATGTAGAGAGCACTTTAAGAACTCTTTATGTAGATATACCAGTTGAATCTGATGGTTGGACTAGATGATCTTAAAGGTCTTTTCCAACCTTAGTGATTCTCTGATCCCTACGATATATGTCTGCATGAAAATCACATTGGGGATTTCTGCATGGTTATGTTGTTGTTGTTTCAAGCTGGGTATCATGGGTGATTATAGCAACAAAGGTGAAATGATCCTTGTGCAACCTGGAAGGGACAGCTTTGTGTTGATCGATAGAGCCAGAATGGTGCCGCTGGGTCTGGGATTTCTGTCTGTCTTCGTGCTGCTGTTTCCCAGCTTTGTTTGGTTGAAACTGCTGTAGATAAGGTTACCTGGCGTGCTGCACCAATGAGCCCTACAAATGGACACGGTCCTGGAAGGCCGCCTTCACTTTTCTCCCTAGCAAGTAATCAGATGTCAGTGCAAGCCAGGGACTTGGCCCTTCCCACAGTTCCAGGAGTTGGGTTTCATCCCATAGTGCCAACCATACCCATAGCCACGCTATGTGATCCAGCAGTGCCTCCAGACTCAGGTGCAGTATCTGCTTTACTGGGGAGGCTTTGCCCCAGGTGTTTGGCACAGAAATTGGCTGCTGTCAGCCAGGCAGCTCACTTTCATCTTGCCATGCAGTTTCTGTCCATTCTGTTCAACAGCATGTGGCTCTGGACTTCAGAAATGCAGGAGTGAAGCAGTTGTAAGTTACAAAGAAAATTCACTTTTTTAGGGTGGTGCTTTGAGGTTTGTAGTCCAGGCATAGGTTTGTGTCCTGACTTTCTGATCAGGACTCTGGTTGGAACAGCCTGCCTCAAAGGCAGTGGCTGAGCTGATGTTTTACGGGAGCTTTCTGCTACGACCACACTGGTGGGACGTGCATGCAGGAGATGTACTGCAGTGGCTCTGTCCCACCCCAGGGCTGCAGCCTCCATCGCTCCTCAGTTGGCCTTTCAGGTGTGTTTGTCTCTGTTGTGCAGCACACTGATACTGCAGGAGATAAAAATGCAGATTAGGGTGCAAGCAAATTCCACCCGACAAGGTGGGTGAATGTGATTAGTATCTGCTGACTGGCTTCCCCACTTCGCTTGCTAAATTATAGCTTTATTCATAACAAATATAATGTTCTTTTCAATGCATTTCATCAAGCAGATCCTCAGCTCTGATTTCTCATTCCTCAGTTTGCCCTTCTATAGAATATTGCAGGAGGTTTTCTCCAGATTGCTCTGAGCCCCTTCTCATTTGCCCCCCTCCTCCTGCAGCTGGAAATGGGCCACATCTGAGGGCCTTTAAAGATAGGTGTGGCTGTTGGAGAAGTGAAAAGGGGAAATAAAGAGTGAGCTGCATCCTGTTTACACCAAACATCCCTGTGGACATTGAACGCAGCACCCAGATCTGGTCTACAGGGCAGGAGGGCATAGTCACAGCCTCCTGCTCTCAGCACATGCCACCAAGGGGCTCAAGAGCTGCACAGGTTTCATAGAATCATAGTATCATTAAGGTTGGGAAGACCACCGAGATCATCCAGTCCAATCCCAACCCATTCCCACCACTCCCATTGAGCCATGTTCCTAAGGGTCACATCTCCATGTTTTTTGAACATCTCCAGGGACAGTGATTCCTGCTTTCCTCTCCTGCCCTGGGGGTGTTACACTCCAATTGCTTAACCTAATTTTTCAACTTCTCAGCCTCATTTAACCTGCTGTAGTGAGAGGCAGCCAACGCATCACCAGCATTTGAGTTTCTCACCCTTCAAGCCAGCTGCAGAGAGCCTAGAGAGCAGATGTGGAATCTCACTGAGTCAACCTGTCTACCTTCAGATAGGCAACCCAAGAACTTTGCCGTGGGTATCCCCAGGTCCTTGTTGTGTAGGGGGATCAGCACAGAAGCAGTTGCCCTTTGGAAGGTGAGGGCTTTGTCTCCGGCGCAGATGGAGGACATCTGTGAGCATCTCACTTCCAAAAGGTGGTCTGGGAGACCTGAGTGGCCCAAGCTTATGCATCTATTTAACGATTACCTGGGAGAAACCATCAGCTGCACCTATTTGCAGTTAGGCAAAGAGCATCTTCTGATAGCAGAGGATATGGGGCAGTCTGGGAGCAACCTGGGGAAGGGAAGGTTGGATGGTGCTGGAGAAGCAGAAAGCAGAGAGGGTGAATCACACTCTGCACCCCAACAGTGTGTGGCTGGTTGTGGGCAGGAGGAGATTTCTCATGGGAAACAATGAAATGAGGATGGAAGGTAGGGAGTAGGAGGAGTGCAGTGCCTTGCTCTGCAGAAATCCCCTTTGCTTGTGATATGTTTGAAGCAGTTTTGTCTGTTCACCAGAGGGTCTCCAGTGAGAGGTCTGAGAGCCCATCAGGGATGTAGTGCCTTTTGTCCTCCAGAGCTGTGATCCCAGGGCCTGTGTGGACAAAATCTCCCTCTTATTGAGTGCCTAGGAGGAGTGTGGGATGTCATTCATTTTTCCTCCAGAGAACGATTAATTTCATAGTCACGTAACATTTAAAATAACTGCATAATAGCCAGAAGCCGACCTAAGCTCCATCTTTTCTTGGAGTTGGGAACGCAATGGCATGGAGGACTTCCAGATGTAATACTTGTGTTTGGGAAAAGCTGCCAGAGGATTAGGCAAGGGGAATACCTGCAGTCCCTGGTTAGAATATGAAGTCACATCTGATGCTCAGATTTCCAGGCATGGACAGGAGGAACTTTCCTGTAAGGATTTTTTTTTTTTTCGTAAAGCACACAAAACAAAAACTGAAGGTGGGACAAAGGGGTAGGTGTTTATTACCCTGAGGACCGAGAAATCATAAGACATCTGTTCTGTTTACTGAGCTTAATAGGCATTGTTGTACAAACCCCACCTCCAGCCATGCAGCTTCTGGAGGGACAAGTTTGTACCAAGCGATTCTGGAAAGATGAGAGAGATTCCTGGAGGAGAGATTTACATTGCCTATCATCTTATCACCAGCCTGTCCCTCTTGCTTTTTTATTTCTCTCTGCAGCAAGAGGGATGATTAAAGAGCTAGGGATTTAATTACAGCCAGATTCGCCTGGGGGGAAAACCCACTCCGTGAAAGGACCTTGCAACAACAAACAGAAAGTTCTCCAGTTTCCTTGCTTTGAAGGATTTAGATGTGTGCAGGGGGGTGGAGGTGGGGAGAAGGCAGGCGATTAGGCTGCAGTTTGCAAAACACACGCTGCCTCTGCCCTGTGAGGCCAAGTGCTGGCTCAGCAGTTCGGCCCTCCCCATCTACTCTCCTTGCAGCCCAAACACCTTCTGTTCTTGTAAGGCGTGAATGACTTCTCATGTTCTTTCTGGCGTTGCAGTCTCCATAAAATAACTTCCTCCTTCTTCCACCCAGACCAGCGCATGGTTTTGTAACCCTTTCAGCCCAGCAGGACCGGTCCCCACTGTTTGGTGCCCACTCAGGTCTTCCCCAACCTGTAACCAGCTGTGGTTCTGCCATCCAGCACCACTTTGGCCCTGGGAACTTCTAGGCTGGAAATAGAGGTCTTGTTGCTGGGCTCTGCCCTCTGCTTTTTTCAGTGAGCGCTTCTGAAAGAGTCTGTAGGAACAGTCTCCTGTCCCTTGACCAGAGGTGAAAGTGGAGGACCAGCCAGACATCTGCT